GCAAGACAGAGCAGAAGGGATTGGGATTACAGTCCCTGAGATGTAGGAAAAAATAGTCACTATCCAAGCTGCAGTCAGGTGAAAATGACAAAGGCAGGCAAGGATTAGACCCCTCCTCTCCCAGTAACAGTAGCGGCTGACAGTTTAAGATTCTAGGAGAGGAGAGGTATCATTCCTATGTGCTTTGGGTTTTGCTGCTGGCTAGCACACATTCCACTCCCTGTGTCCCTAGAGCAAACTAATATTAAGTGCATGCAGACCTGGGGCACCAGGAGAGGGGCACTAGGCACTCTAAGGGCTTCTTGACATCCAATGTTTCACAACTTCAGCTAGGCCAGGCCAATGGGCTTGAAGTTTTTCAGGCTAGGGTTGGAGACCTTCTCCATCTGCTCCTTTGCTCGGTTGATGTGTCTGCAAAGGTCTCACTCCAAAACCTATCAGGCTTTGTAAATGACACTACTTTGCCTTCTTGGGTGGGCATGAAGATCTCACTGCTGTTGGTGGGAAAGCAGGGACTGCTGCTCCTCTTGGCCTTGTAGATAACCCTGAAGAACATGGAGCTGTCATCGCTGGAGGTGTGCAGTCATATTGCCCTGCCACCAGATTCCTCAGCAGCCTTTGGTTCCAGTCTACTTGGTTTTGTAATTGACTTGTTGAATACAGGTGGCTTAACTTAGTTGTTCTGGCTACTGGGCCTGGCCTCTTATCCTACGTTGGGTAACATGATTACAGGTGAGAGCTACCGTGCTAGACTGATAAGGAGTAATTTAAAATAAATGTATTATATTTATTTACTTATTTGTGTCTATATGGGTGTTGGGGTGCAAGTTCTATGATGTCCTTATCACAAGTTTGGAAGGCGACTTGCAGAAGTTGGTTCCCTACTCCTAGCATGTGGACCCTGGGGGATCGAACTCAGGTTGTGAGACTTGGAGGCTGGTGCTTTTTACTCAGTCAGCTATCTCCCTGACTCACAAAGTATAATCTTTGTTGCATGCTAGTAAAATTTGAAGCAGATAGAATAAACAAAAATAACATAATCTAAACATTTCTGAAATCTTTGAGGTATTGTAAAACATTAAAATTATGACACCTAGGTTCACCTAAGCACTAACCCTTTATAACAGCGTCAAAACAATGTCTGATAGAATGATATCAGATTTATCTGCCATAAAACTTGGCCTATTAGAAGTATTAAGCAAAAAATCATTTTCCCAGCCTTTGATGACCCAAGTAGTGCTACAGCTAATTATTTACTACAATCTATTAAAGCACCAATGCCCCAATCCCATAGTTGTGACACAGACCTGTCATCCCAGCATATCAGTTCAAGGTCATCCTCAGCTCTACAGGGAGTTCTAAGCTAGGCTAGGCTACCCAAGACACTGTATTAACAAATCAACAACAACAACAACAAAATAAACCCAAAATTAACCCATCAAAAAATCCTTTAGTTCCTTACGTGTACAGCAAAGATAAAACAAAAACAAAACAAGACCAAAAGACAAATGCTACGATTTTGATATCATTTACTGTAGCTGATTCTTTCTACTGTTTATCTTTTTTTCTTGATTATGTTAAGAGTTTTTGTGAACTGTTGGTAAATGGATCTACCGCTATGATCTTGAAGAAACAGGATACAGCCTGGCGGTAAGGCCTAGCATGTGTGAAGCTTTGATCCCCTTCACCACAAGAAGCAGGCAACTTATACTGAACATATTGAACACAACTGAAATACAATATTAGGTAAGCCATTTTTTTCTCTATGGTTCTCCACCAACATAACTCAATTATAGTATTATTTGAACTCATACTTGATTAGTTCAACTAGAAAATAATAATTTTGCTACTCCTAAAAGCATTTGGAGTAGGAGAAGTGAAAGAAATTGATAGTGTGGCAAGTTGACAAAGACCCACAAAGCACAGCTGAAAAGCAAATGTGTTATAATTTACAAATTTTCATCTTTAATAATACATTTACTATACGAATACAGAAAAGATACACTGAAAGTTTTGAAGAGCAATAGAAAATGAAAAAAAAATCAAAAGGCACCTTGCTGATTCTGTTATGAGCTGTGTTTAAAAGACTAAGACGAAACATTTCAAGTTTATCATTGTTTAAAACTTATTTTGCTATTACTGCTTTATATTATGAGCTAGGACCTCATGCTTTACTATTGAGTTATATGCCCTTAGCTCTTACTAATTTTCATCTCAATAATCGTGTATAAAATGATCATGATGCCTGTAAAAGTACTCAATATTGGGAATTCAGAGATGATTTACTTATACTTTCTAGCTTTGAAGATTTCATAGTCCAAAGGAGAGGAAAAGTACATAGGTGAAATAAATAACAAGGATTATGACAAAATAGTAACTGATTTTGAGGTCCCCTCATTGATGCTATTCTACTCAATAAAACCTTGCTTGCCCTTCCAAAATTATCTCTAAAAGCCATATGTACATATTATGGTGACACATGCTTATAATCCTGGTACTCAGTGGCTGAGATGGGAGGATCATGAGTTCAAGGCCAGCCTGTACTACTTAGCAAGACTTTTTAAAAGACTTTTGTATAAGGTTACAGATATTAAAATAAAAAACCACCAACATCCTAAATTAACATAATAATATTGATGTTTTAAAAATCTAGAAATTAGTGGCTGGAGAGATGGTTCAAGGAGTAAGAATGTTGGCTGCACAAGCATATGGACTTGAACTTGGCAGAGTGATAACAACACAAACCTGATATCATCCTCTGCCCTCCATACTGGCATTTGCATATATGTCTTTGTGTACATATACCACAAACATTTCTTTTAATATCTCGTCTTTGAATTCATTTTCTTCTTCCTCTCAACAAGTTTTTGGTATAGTATTGAAGAAACCCAAAAGATTTGTGCACCATTTGAGTAAATTGCAAAACAAAAACAAAACAAAACCAAAACAACAGAGAGAAAACAGATTCTCTGTGCCTTATACTGTGTTTGTTGTTATTTCCTTTGCTTGGGAAAAAGTCTTGTCTGGAAGTTGTTATTATTATTATTATTATTTTGTTTTTTTCAGACAGGTTTCTCTGTATAGCTCTGGCTGTCCTGGAACTAGCTCTGTATACCAGGCTGGCCTCAAACTCATAGAGATCTATAAACCTCTGCATTCTGACTGCTTCAATTAAAGGCATATGCCATCATGCCTGTCTAAAAAAATTTAATCAACTTGATTACACATGAAATTCACTCAAAACTGTTTAAGCTTTTTTCTTTTTTGAGACAGGGTTTCTCTTAGTAGCCCTGGCTGTCCTGGTCACTTTGTAGACTAGGCTTGCCCCAATTAAAGGTGTGTACCACTACTACCACCCTGTTTCAATTTTTGGGGGGGGGGTTTCGAGACAGGGTTTCCCTGTAAGTGTGGAGAGTATCCTGGAACTCTTTGAAAACCAGGCTGGCCTTAAACTCACAGAGATCTTCCTGCCTCTGCCTCTGTGAGTTCTGAGGCTAGACTGGTCTACAAGAGCTAGTTGCAGGACAGCCTCCAAAACAACACAGACAAACTCTGCCTCGAAAAACAAACAAACAAACAAAAAAACAAAAACAAACAAACAAAAAAAAACCCAAAAAGACTTCGGTCAAATAGGGCATGAAAAGCTGTTCATGTGAGAATAATTACAAATGGGAACTGCAAATTCAAGCATTACACAGGTGATTTGAAAATATATATGTCTCTACAAATGGACACTGGCTGCCCATCCCACAATGAGGGATGCTCTCTCAGCCGAGACTCTTGGGGAAGGGCCTAGGCTCTGCCCTGAATGAAATGACAGACTCTGGAGATCCTCCATGGAGGGCCTCACCCTCCCTGGGGATCGGAGTGGAGATTGGGTGGGGGGCTGGGGGGGGGTTGGTGGGGAGGGCGAGGGAGGAGGGGAGGGAGAGGGAGCTGGGATTGACATGTGAAACTAGATTATTTCTAACTTAAATAAAAATGGAAGAAAAAAAAGAAAATGTATGTCTCTTGAACCAAAGGGAATTTACTGATTAATGATGGGTTTCAGTGATCACGTAAGTTGTGCACATACTAAATGTAGAATGGAGGGGATTTGTGATGGGCCTGTTTACTTGTTTTTGGAAACAGGGTCCCATGCAGCCCAGGTTGATCTGGAAATCCTGATCCTTCTGCCTCAGTTTCCCAAGTGCTGGAATAAGAGGGAAAAACCACCACCCGAATGTTCATTACAGTCTTTTTTTTCTTTTTTTTTTTCTTTTTTCCCGACACGGTTTCCTCTGTGACTTTGGAAGTTGTCCTGGAATTAGCTCTTGTAGACCAGGCTGGCCTCGAACTCACAGAGATCCGCCTGCCTCCGCCTCTTGAGCACTGGGATTAAGGGCGTGCGGCCACCAATGCCCGGCTTCATTACAGTCTTAAATAAAATTATGCACTTTATTTCTATTTATTTATTTAGAAGCCGGATCTCATTATATATCCTGTGAACTGGCGCTCCCAACAGTCCTTTTGCCTCTTGTGAACTATTTTGCCAGGACTAAAAGTGTACTGCAGGTTTTGCCTGAGAAAAGCTGGTCTTTCCTAAATGCAAAAGGGCATGCATGAACAAAGGGCAGTGGACGTTTATGGTGTCACATGGACGTTTATGGTACCACAGGAAAATCTCAAACCTCCTAAGGAAAAATCTTCGGTACTCAAAGAATGCCTTCAGCACAACGTTTAGTTCAGTGTTCGGGTTTTTCTTTTTCTCAGTGGATTAAAATTATACCTGGCAAGTTCCCATACACTTTTGGGGGTGTCCAACCTTTTGACAGAGCTAAAGGGTGTTAGCGGCAGATGTGGAAAGCATTCACAGCTATGCTAGGACTTAGGATGGATGCCAGACAGGCTACGGGGCTCTGGATGGAAGGAGACCACGCCCGGCGCAGCCAAGTTTCCCGCCCCACCCGATGCGATTCACAGCACCCAACGGCCTTATGGGCTTCTTCCGCCCTTCCTTTTCCCTTTGGCGTCAGCGCAAACTACTTACGTCACATCCGCTCCAGGAATTCCGAATCTTGAACCCGCGCGATGAAAAGTGCGTTTGTGACTGTTGGGACCACCAGTTTCGACGACCTCATCGAGAGTGTGGTCACTAACGACAGCCTCCGGGTGAGTCCGGCCGGCGGCTCTGCTGTTTTAGGTCCCTGGGCGCTGCGGTCAGGAAGGAAGCTTGGCAGCTGTTCTCCGGTACCGCGGCGTCCCGGCCCAAGCCCTCAGCCCCTCGCGTTCCCTCTCCCTCCGCGAGCTCGGTGTCCCTCACAGGTTCTTTCCACAGCCGCCATGCCGCCCTCCTCAGTCTCCCCGTGGCCCGTCTCCTCACAGCCTCTCCCGTGACCCCGTCTCCTCACAGACTCTCCCGTGACCCCCATCTCCTCAGCCTCTCCCGTGACCCCGTCTCCTCACAGACTCTCCCGTGACCCCGTCTCCTCACACTCTCTCTCCTCACAGCCTCTCCCGTGACCCCGTCTCCTCACACTGTCTCCACAGCCTCTCCCGTGACCCCGTCTCCTCACAGCCTCTCCCGTGACCCTGTCTCCTCACAGCCTCTCCCGTGACCCCGTCTCCTCACAGACTCTCCCGTGACCCCCATCTCCTCAGCCTCTCCCGTGACCCCGTCTCCTCACAGACTCTCCCGTGACCCCGTCTCCTCACACTCTCTCTCCTCACAGCCTCTCCCGTGACCCCGTCTCCTCACACTGTCTCCACAGCCTCTCCCGTGACCCCGTCTCCTCACAGCCTCTCCCGTGACCCCGTCTCCTCACAGACTCTCCCGTGACCCCCAACTCCTCAGCCTCTCCCGTGACCCCGTCTCCTCACACTGTCTCCTCAGCCTCTCCCGTGACCCCATCTCCTCACAGACTCTCCCGTGACCCCCATCTCCTCAGCCTCTCCCGTGACCCCGTCTCCTCACACTGTCTCCTCAGCCTCTCCCGTGACCCCGTCTCCTCACAGACTCTCCCGTGACCCCGTCTCCTCACACTCTCTCTCCTCAGCCTCTCCCGTGACCCCGTCTCCTCACAGACTCTCCCGTGACCCCGTCTCCTCACACTCTCTCTCCTCAGCCTCTCCCGTGACCCCGTCTCCTCACAGACTCTCCCGTGACCCCGTCTCCTCACAGACTCTCCCGTGACCCCGTCTCCTCACAGCCTCTCCCGTGACCCCGTCTCCTCACAGACTCTCCCGTGACCCCGTCTCCTCACAGACTCTCCCGTGACCCTGTCTCCTCACACTGTCTCCTCAGCCTCTCCCGTGACCCCGTCTCCTCACACTGTCTCCTCAGCCTCTCCCGTGACCCCCGTCTCCTCACACTGTCTCCTCAGCCTCTCCCGTGACCCTGTCTCCTCACAGCCTCTCCCGTGACCACGTCTCCTCACAGCCTCTCCCGTGACCCCGTCTCCTCAGCCTCTCCCGTGACCCCGTCTCCTCACAGACTCTCCCGTGACCCCGTCTCCTCACAGACTCTCCCGTGACCCCCATCTCCTCAGCCTCTCCCGTGACCCCGTCTCCTCACACTGTCTCCTCAGCCTCTCCCGTGACCCCGTCTCCTCACAGACTCTCCCGTGACCCCGTCTCCTCACACTCTCTCTCCTCAGCCTCTCCCGTGACCCCGTCTCCTCACAGACTCTCCCGTGACCCCGTCTCCTCACACTCTCTCTCCTCAGCCTCTCCCGTGACCCCGTCTCCTCACAGACTCTCCCGTGACCCCGTCTCCTCACAGACTCTCCCGTGACCCTGTCTCCTCACACTGTCTCCTCAGCCTCTCCCGTGACCCCGTCTCCTCACACTGTCTCCTCAGCCTCTCCCGTGACCCCCGTCTCCTCACACTGTCTCCTCAGCCTCTCCCGTGACCCTGTCTCCTCACAGCCTCTCCCGTGACCACGTCTCCTCACAGCCTCTCCCGTGACCCCGTCTCCTCAGCCTCTCCCGTGACCCCGTCTCCTCACAGACTCTCCTGTGACCCCGTCTCCTCACACTCTCTCTCCTCAGCCTCTCCCGTAACCCCGTCTGTCTCCTCACAGACTCTCCCGTGACCCCGTCTCCTCACAGACTCTCCCGTGACCCCGTCTCCTCAGCCTCTCCCGTGACCCCCATCTCCTCACAGCCTCTCCCGTGACCCTGTCTCCTCACACTGTCTCCTCAGCCTCTCCCGTGACCCCGTCTCCTCACACTGTCTCCTCAGCCTCTCCCGTGACCCCCGTCTCCTCACACTGTCTCCTCACAGACTCTCCCGTGACCCCGTCTCCTCACAGCCTCTCCCGTGACCACGTCTCCTCACAGCCTCTCCCGTGACCCCGTCTCCTCAGCCTCTCCCGTGACCCCGTCTCCTCACAGACTCTCCTGTGACCCCGTCTCCTCACACTCTCTCTCCTCAGCCTCTCCCGTAACCCCGTCTGTCTCCTCACAGACTCTCCCGTGACCCCGTCTCCTCACAGACTCTCCCGTGACCCCGTCTCCTCAGCCTCTCCCGTGACCCCCATCTCCTCACAGCCTCTCCCGTGACCCTGTCTCCTCACACTGTCTCCTCAGCCTCTCCCGTGACCCCGTCTCCTCACACTGTCTCCTCAGCCTCTCCCGTGACCCCCGTCTCCTCACACTGTCTCCTCAGCCTCTCCCGTGACCCTGTCTCCTCACAGCCTCTCCCGTGACCCCGTCTCCTCACAGCCTCTCCCGTGACCCCGTCTCCTCACAGCCTCTCCCGTGACCCCGTCTCCTCACAGCCTCTCCCGTGACCCCTGTCTCCTCACACTCTCTCTCCTCACAGCCTCTCCCGTGACCCCCGTCTCCTCACAGCCTCTCGTGGCCCCCATTCCCTCAGTCTCTCCACAGCTGCCTTGCCCCTTACAGCCTTTCTCCACAACCACCATGCCCCACCTCCCCCCATCCCTTGCTCAGTCTTCCCTCACCCACCCCTGCCCTTCCAGCTCCTGTCCTACCTTGCCCCCCAAGCCCCCGGTTAATCTCCCCGCACCCCACCCCCTGCTCAGCCCTCGTGCCCCCCTCGTCTTCCCTCGCCCCCATTGCCCCCTCCTGCTTAGTCTGTCCCCCTGTCCCTCCCCCTGTTTAGTCTTCCCTTGCTGTCCCAGTCCTCCCCAGTTCAGTCTCTCCCTGTGCCCCAGGCCGTTTGCACTCACCCCCTCCTCAGTGCCCCCTGCCCCTCCCCTGTCTCCCCTGTCTCCCCTGGTCCCCTGTTCCCCAAACCCCTGCAGTCTTTCCTCCCCATGACCCACGTCTTCCCTTGTCCCCTGTGCCCAATGCAGTCCTCCCTCGTGCTCCTCAACCAGACCTTCTGTCATTTCCTCCTCCCCGGCCTTGTCTCTTCCACTTTGTAGTCTCTGCTACCAAGTCTTTGCTTTCATGGCTTTAGGTCCCTGCCTGAAGCTCTGTCTGGCCCCTCCACACTCCATGCTCGGCGACTCCTCACCCCTCAGGCCAGTAAAGGCTTTTCCTGTGGCGCCTCTGTCAGCGGACCCACATCTACCCCCCTCCCAGACTAGTTTTAAGTGTCCCAGCTCAACTGATGAGACCAAAACAGGCCCTTGGTTCCTGCCTAGTGTTCAAGGTATGCTTTGACCTGGTGGGGTCCTTGGCAGTGCCTGGCGCGAGGGAAAAAGGGATAATTTTGGAAGCTTAGCTAACTGGTCAGCAACAGGTAGGTTTCAGATAAGGCACTCTTCATTTGAGCAGCAACGTGGAGGTTGGCTAACAGCTGTGCTCGAAGGACTAAAGATCGTGTTTTCTTATTTCCTGTTTTAGATCCTTAAGAGTCTCGGTTATAACCGACTTGTCCTCCAGATTGGTAGAGGCACAGTGGTCCCTGAATCATTCAGTAGTGATTCATTCACTCTGGATGTTTACAGGTACAAGGATTCTTTGAAGGAAGACCTTCAGCAAGCAGATCTTGTCATCAGCCACGCAGGTAAAGTGTCTGAGAATCTTGGGTTTCTGTCTTTGATTAAAAACAGGTGCTTTAACCTTTTCAGACTGAATTCATAAGGACTTGAGTGGTAGGGTAGGTGCATGCCTAGCATGTGAAAAGCCCTGGGTCCAAATCATAACCACAATAAAGAAAGCCAGGCTCTATGGCTCATAACTAATTCTAGTAATTGAGAGGGAAAGGTGCACAGCCTGAGGTACCTGAGACACCCCCCTTAAAAAGGTGTAAGTTAATAACACAGAATAAATTCATTGCAGCTGCATTTTAATATTACTTGACTTGAATATACCCATTGAGAACTTTAGTGGAAAGATGAAGGATATTTCTAGGCAAGAGCATATGAAGGTTTTTTTTTTTTGGTTTTTCAAGACAGGGTTTTTCTGTGGCTTTGTAGACCAGGTTGGCCTCGAACTCACAGAGATCCTCCCGCCTCTGCCTCCCGAGTGCTGGGATTAAAGGCAGGTGCCACCATTGACTAGTGATATGAAGGTTTTTAGCCCAGTGTTACAGTAAAAATCTCTAAAAATGGGAAAGATAATGTGTATGATGACTATGACAAATTGTGAATTTGAAATTATTTGGACTTAGAGCTAATGGACGTTAAGCCTTTTCAGTGGTAGAGTTGGGTTGTACAAATTGCCATTTAAAGATTGTTTTTTAACATTTTTATTGAATGCATGTAAAATAGATGCAATAAAATAAATCTTATAGCATATGGTAAGAAAATTAAAATTTTAGATTTATAAATTATATTCATGCACATAAGCTAATAGATTTTGAAAATATATCTTATGTTTTAAATATATATTATATATTCATATTTTTAGTAATTGTAGCCTTCATCAAATCAAACTAACAGAGTTCCTGAGATTTCCAGTACTTTTAGAAAAGCTGTTTTTGGGAAGCAGTGCAGTTTTGACTGCTAGGGGTATTTGTGGGGGATATGCTGTTTTTTTGAAGACTAATTTGAGGAGAGAAATTGCCTTTGAAATAGACATTACTGCTGGGCAATGGTGATACAGTCCTTTAATCCCAGGACAGGCAGAGACATGCAAATCTCTGAGTAGCAGGCCAGCCTGGTCTATGGTGTGAGTTCCAGGCTAGTCAGGGCTACACAGAGAAACCCTGTCTCCAAAACCAGTAAAACAAGAAAAGAAATAGACATTACTAAAATATATAGCATAATAGTTCTTATGTTTATGTGTATGACATTAGTGCTGCTTTGAATTCTTTATACTGTTTAATCCTCCTAATCTTGTGAGCTAAGTTATTAGCATCCCCATCTTGTAGGTGAGGTAACTAAGACACATGTATATGTAGTAATCCATAGTTGTAGAAGTAATTAAGAAGTGTTCTTAATTACTACCTATCACATATCAGAAAGGGTTTATTTATTCTAACAGTCCTAAATGCCATTTATAATATCTAGGAGAGTAAAAATACTATTTTAGATCTTCTTGTCTGTGTGTATGAATGTATGTGTGCCATGGCATGTATGTGAATGATGGTCAGAAGGCAACAGAATTGGTTCTCTTTACCATGTGGTTTCCATGGTGGGAAATCAGGTTGTTAGGCTTGGTGACAAGTATCTCCTGAGCCTTCTTCCTAGTCCTCTAGGGGCTTTTAAATAGCAAAATTGAACTGATCATAATAATGTATATCTGCATGTTCATGGTGAGCTAGTCTTGACTACCTTGGGAATGGCACTTCGGGAATAAACACATAAGAACTGTTGTCCTGTATTAGTGCCTGTCACCATTATAGGCTAGCCTTTTAATTTTTTCTAAAAAATTTAGTGCATTTATTTGTTCTCTTGCTACCTCTCTTCCTCTCTCCCTCCTTCCCTGTGTGTGTGTGGGGGGGGTCTGCCTGCATGTGTCTGTTGTCTCCCACCATGTGTGATCTGGGGCCATCTTGAAAACTCTAAAATGTTTTTTAAATCACCTTTATTTTGCATGTGGGGTGTGTGTGTGTGACATGTGGGTCTGTGCATGTGTATTGTGTGAGCATGTGTGTATGTGTGAGTGATGAATCTATGTGTGTTGATCCTAGAGGTAGACAATGGATGTCTTACTGGGTTGCTGTCCACATTTAGTTTTTTTTTTGTCTCACTATGTAGTCTAGCTTGCCTAGAATTCAATATGTAGACCAGGCTGGCTTTGGGCTCAAAAAGACCTGTCAGTTCTGCCTCCTGAGTGCTGGGATTAAAGGTGTGCTTCACTGTGCTCCCACTATTTTTCAATATTTATTTTTTAGTTGTATTTGTATACCTTGGAAGTGGAGTTATAGGCACTTATGAGTGATCCAATCAAACTTAGGTAGTCTGAAAGAGCACAGTATATTCTTTTGAATTTTGAGCCATCTCTAACCCTTCCACATTACTTTTTAAAATAGGGTCTCATTGAACCTGGAGTTCATCAACTCAGCTCACCTGACAGGTTAATGAACTCCAGGGACTTTCCTATCTCCCTCCTTCCCTAATTGGTGTTACAAACTGAACTCAGCTTTTAATGTGGGTATCTTAATTCTTGTAAGGACTAAACCTACCTTTTCTGTTTGCATTGGGTTAGAAGTGAAGTTGTTCAGTGGTATCAACTAGGGATTTGGTAATGCCAGAGTTCTAGCGGTACAAACAGGAGAATAATGATAATGGTGAGTAAAGGTCAGCCTGGGCTTTGTAGCAAGTTTCAGCTGTAGTCCTTCTATCCCCTTTCCCCCAAAACCTGTCAGGGCTCTGGAGAGATGGCTCATCAGCTAAGAGCACTGACTGCTCTTCCAGAGGACCTGGGTTCGATTCCCAGTACCCACATGGCAGCTAACAGCTGTAACTCCAGCTCCAGGTGACCTGACACCCTCACACAGACAGACATGCAGGCAAAACACCAATGCACACGAAATAAAATAAATAAATATTTTTAAAAATCCTGTCAAAAAATTAGTTGGTGTGGGTTTGTCTTTAGTGTTGTTGATATAGAGTCTGCCTATGTAACCCATGATCCTCCTGCTTTAATCTACATGCTGGGATTTGGGGCATCTGTCATTAAACCTGACCTACATTTGTCATTTTGAACATATAATTAAAAGCTTTGGTTTTATATAGTTTTCCTGACTAAACTATTCAATTTTAGAAATAAAACTAATGATAAATTATTATAAGTTTTAAAAATTGAATTAATAAATATTATTTTTGCAGGTGCAGGAAGCTGTTTGGAGAGTCTGGAAAAAGGCAAGCCACTTGTGGTAGTTGTAAATGAAAAGTTAATGAACAATCATCAATTCGAATTGGCAAAGCAGTTGCACAAAGAAGGACATCTTTTCTATTGTACCTGCAGGTATACTAGAGACTGATCAATTGATCTCTTGTCTTAAATTCCTCCCCAGCTGTTATTACCCACTTGCCTAACCTTTAGGTTTTTCACACTCATCAGTTATACTTTTTTCAACTATAACCTCTTATTTGTCTTTAAGTCTGACTCTGTTCTGTGTTGTTTTTTCCTGTATTCATGACCACATCTTTGTATGTGAATTTGAATGTGTGAATGTGCATACTGGTGTGCAGATTCCCAAGAATCTTAGTTTTGTAGTCTATCATTCCGGCTTTCAGTGTTCAAAGAAGGTATATGCTTATATTAGTTAAGGAATAATTAATTTAGTTATTTTGACAGTCTCACATATGTATATAATGAATTTAGTTACTGAAAGTTTGACTTTTGGTAAATCCGCTGGAAGCCCTAAATTAAATGTACTCATTCACATATTCTCCTCTTACCTAATATAAAGTGGGTACTGTTTTAAGTTGCTTGGGTTACAGTGGCAAGGATTGTGCTTGCATTATGGTGGTAGAATTTCACATGGTGAACTATGCTACAAATAAAGACAGGACAATATTATAACTGGGATAAGGAAGAATTAGGTAGACTTCAGAACAGGCTTGACAAAGGACCTGATGTTTCAAGTGAGGCCTGAATTAGGACAAACCAGTCATATAAAGTTTAGGGTCAAAGGAGCTTGAGTTACAAAAGCCTTAACTTAGGAATTAACTTGGACTTTGAACTGCTTGAAGAACAGGGAAGGTTGGTATGGTAGAAGCATAATAACCAGGCAAGTGTGACTATGAAGCTGGGAGGGCATAGCTCATTTAAGAGTTCTAATTTTATTTTGTTTAATGAGAAGCTATTGCAGCACTTTAAGCAAAGGGATCTTTGGTAAGGAATTACCAAAGGTTTATGAGCATCGCAGTAGAAGCTTGAAGAAAAATGCTGTTTTTCTGTTAGTTCTTCTTTGGGACACTAGAAGCTTGCCAAAGGGCCAGGTCAGTAATTCCCAGTTGCTTGATTTTAAAATCTTTTCTGATTTGATATTTTTTTAAAGTAAGTAATCTCATAAAGAAATGAATTATAAGTCTATATCTGTATTTTATATTAAAATTAGAACATGGTGTGTTTTTGGATTTTATTTTTTATTTTAGGTATTTGGTATATACTTGTGTGTTCATTAACTATGGAACACATGTTGCATGCCATGCTTTTTTAGACATTTGGTATGTACATATATATCAGTGAACAAAGCTTGATCTTCCAGTGGAAGAATACAGATTCAGTCAGTGACTATTCATTCCAGCAGTAAAATTGATGGTGTGCTCATCTCTATAATGGTGGAGGAAAGGGAATGTTGTCTTGGTACAATGACTCAGAAGAAAAGCTAGAAATTATGAGTGGTTCAGATAATTGGCGTATCTGCCCTTAGTTGATTGAAAATACCACTTTGAAATGTGAACAGATCTTGTATTCCTAACTACTGTATGCAAGTTAATATTTCTAGGGGCTACTGAAAAGGATTTTCATTCAAAATTTATCACTTTTATATTTTTAGTGATAGTCTCTATGTATACATCCCAGGCTTACCTTGAACTTCTCATTTTTCCGAGTTTTTGAGATTATAGATAGGTATGGGCCACTGTGCCCAGCTAATTAGCTCTGATTTTTGTTGTTGTTGTTCAGATATAATAAAAGAGAAAACATTGATTTTTTTTCTGCTTTGGTTTTTCAAGACAGGGTTTCTCTGTAGCTTTGGAACTCACCCTTTCTGGAAACAAGCTTGCCTCAAACTGAGACCTGCCTGCCTCTGCCTTCCAAGTGCTGGGATCAAAGGCGTGCACCATCACTTCATAACTTTAACATATATATTACATTACACACACACACACACTCTCTCTCTCTCTCTCTCCTAACTTTTTTCTGCAGGACAAAATGACCTGTGTGTCTTCTTTTGAAAAAAATTTTTTATGTATGTATGTGTGTTAGGTTGTGGGCCTGAAGGATGGGGGACAAGATTGAATTGTTAGTTCTCTCCTGCCATGTGGGTTCTGGGCATTGATTTCATGTTTTCAGCAGTTTCTTTGCCCCCTCCAAACAATTTTAGAAAAGTCAGTAAAATGAAAGTATCAAGAAGCATTGATTATATTTTCCCAAACCTAGGTTGGATGGTGGTATGTCTGTTCAAATGTAATTGACTTTTGTTTAATTCAGTTTTTGAAGTAACAGTTTTATGATGTTTGGAACCTTATTTTCAACATGCATGGTGACCATGTAATTGATTAGCTATGAATTCATGATAATTTTCAGTAAAAAAGTTTTCTCACAATCTGCAGGGATGGTGTACTTAGTGTGGTCATCCTAGCTTACTATTTTGTCTGATACCTATAGTTTTTGTTTCATTTATTCCAGTTTTATAAATTAACTTTGCTTTATATTTGTGTGGTCCTGGAGAGTATTAAAAGCAGTGTGAACACATTTTCTTTGAAATGACATTTCAGAAACACTTCATTTAACTGAAATAAAAATGTTTATTCAATTCATCCGACATGTTGTAGTACCTATATGTTGTAGTACCAACCTTTTATATAGTACTCTTTGTGTTGTCAATAATATTAATATGTATGTCCCCATAATATGTATATATTCACAGTTCATTCATCAAATGGGAAGCAGATAAGCTATGGAATTTTCTCTCATGTTACCTGATGTTTTTCTTCTTTTGTTTTAGCACGCTTCCTGGGCTGTTACAGTCAATGGATTTATCAACACTGAAATGTTATCCTCCTGGCCAGCCAGAAAAATTTTCTGCATTTTTGGATAAAGTTGTTGGATTACAAAAATAAACTCTTAACACTTTAAAAATACCCCTAAATCCAGTTCATGAAATGTGATTAAATCAAAATAAGTTTATGGCATATATTTGTAGAACAATGCAAATTAATATATTTGCTATATAAGATATATAAGGAATTTTGTGGCATAAACATTGCAGTTGGATCCAAATTCTAACTATATTCAGTAAATTTGAGATTTCTCTAACGTTGAATATGTAGTCAGTTCCTAACTGAAAACGTAGTATTCACAATTTTGTCCTAAAAATCTTAAAATTTTTATCTCATTGCTTAAACAACAAAAAAGAAAAAATAACCAAGCCTGGCAGTGGTGGTCCACACTGTTAATCTCAGCCCTTAGGAGCCAGAGATAGGCAGATCTCTCTTGAGTTCAAGGCTAGCCTGGTTTACAGAATGTGTTACAGGACAGTCAGGACTACACAGAATACTCGGTCTCCAAAAACCAAAACAAAATTTAAAATGTTAATAAAAATCAGATATTAAATAGATGTTCCTTTGAAGAAGAAAAAGTGAAATTCTAACAATGTAATACTTTGGTTAGAAAGTCAGCATCTGTAGTTTTATAATCTTATGAGACAACTTTTTGTATTAAGCGGTGAAGAATATGGAAGTTAGTAGTTAAAAGGATGATCAAAGTAATTGTGATCTACTGTACTTGGAGTAAGTAACTTTTGTCCTGAAGAATAAAGTAAATATGTTCACTTTTTCAACTTCTGATTCTTCAAATGCTGGGATTACAGGTACACAACACCACGCCTGGTGTAATTGTTCCTCTGAGAAGGGCTGGAGAGATGGCTCAGTGAATAAAGTGTACTTGCTGTACAAGTGTGAGGACCTACGTTTGCATCTTTATAATCAACGTTAATCAGGCATGGTAGTGTGTATCTAGAATCCCTTTGCCTATGATGAGATGGTAGATGGAGATAGAATCCCTGGAAGACATTGGGCTAGGAGCCCTGGTGTTCACAATAGTGAATGACAAAAAGACCCTGTATCAAGCAAGGTGGAAAGTGAGAATTGAGCCTCAGGTTTTCCTCTTATTGCACCAGCTCACCATGGTACTGATGAATGCATACAGACATGTAAGTAGAATGTGATAATCTTATCAATGCTTTAAAATATAGAGAATAAATCCAAAGATACAACAGTACGACTTGGCTGTTACTTTTTTTTTTAACATTTTCATTCTTTTTTTTTTTCCTTTTTCGAGACAGGGTTTCTCTGTATTGTTTTGGAGACTGTCCTGGAACTCTCTTTGAAGACCAGGCTGGCCTCGAACTCACAGAGATCCGCCTGCCTCTGCCTCCTGAGTGCTGGGATTAAAGGCGTTTGCCACCATACATTTTCAATTTTGTGTATGTGTGGACATGTGCAAGTGGAAGTCAGAAGACAGTTGGGATCATTTTAGTCCCTGTCATCAAATGTGGGTCTCTAGGCTTGGCAGCAGGACATTTGTTGGTGATCCATTTCACTGGTTCATTTGTTTGGATAGAAATTGTGGGGTTTGAACCTAGTACCTTGCACATAGTAGGTCTGTGCTCTACTAATGAGCTACATCCTCTGCTGTCAGTTTTTACGATTGCTGTGTGGGGCCTGGAGAAACCTCAGTGTTGAGTTGTATTTCAGAGGACATAATGTTTAGTTCTCAAAACCTATGTTAACTGCTTGTAACTCCTATCTCTAGGGTATCAAATGCCCTCATTTTGTTTTAGCACATGGCATATACTCACAACTACACATACAAAAATAGATCTTTTAAAGAAACTATTAAAAATTGCACCTGAAGCTGGAGACATGGCTCAGTGTTTAGAAGCACTTGATGCTCTTTTAGTGGCCAAGGTTTGATTGTCAGTATCCAGATGGCAGGGTATCCTACACCCTCTGTCCTTCGTGGACACCAGCCATGTGTGTGGTGCACAAATCTACATATAAAATAGCATACTCACATAATTAATGGCCTTTACAGTATTTGGCAATTAAGATTTATTATGTATATAGTGTTCTGCCTGTAGGTATCCCTGCATGCCAGAAGAGGGCACCAGATCTCATTACAGATGGTTGTGAATCACCATGTGGTTGCTGGGGATTGAACTCAGGATCTCTGGAAGAGCAGTCAGTGGTCTTAACCTCAGAGTCATCTCTCCAGCCCCAGAATATATTTAA